ATTGTAATGCATGCATGGTTTTGACAAGTCCAAAAGCAAAATCAAATTCATGATCCCAAGCAATCATATTGTATGTAGACAATGAACTGTACTGTATTGTCAAAACAAAACAAAACCACATACATCATGTATACAGCATTATATGCATTTTTCAAATCTTCAGGTTCTAGTGTGGAATCTGGCTGGAGCTGGAGCAATCATAGCTTGGTCTGGAGGACTCTGTCTCATCATCTTCATCACCTTCAAAATGATGCATATGCTCAGAGTGCCAAAAGAAACAGAACTGAGAGGTGAAATCATCATTCATTTCTTCCTATCAACTCATTCCCTGCTATGGATTTGCTTTTGGGACTCAGACACTTTTGCATTCAAAAAAAATAGAAAAGCATTTCCTATACTGCAACTAGATTCAAAACTTCAGCTGGATAGTGCTCTGAATAGATATTAGCACACTTGGTTTTATTTTGTGTTGTTTGATTGATCAAAAGTTCAAAAAACATGTAAATACTCTGCCCAATTAGGGTATCTTATTATAATTGTAAATATTTGACAAATTTAGACTTTAGAAATGCCCACCAACAAAGGCAAAATCAGGCAAAAATGGTTTTGGAAAGGTGGAATAGGCAGTTGATGGGTTAAATGTAAAATGTGTCCTCAGCATAAACAATAAGCCATATAATGTAAATTGTTCTCAGGCATGGACTTGATAAAACACAATGAACTGGCTTACCCACAAGCAGCCTGGGAAGAGGCAGAAAGTGGCCCTTATTCATCAGCAGCCATTGCAGAGAGCATGGTCAGTGGACTGATGCCACTGAAGAGAACAAAATTGACAGGCAAGATGAATTTACTGTCCTTTTATTGAATTTATAATATATTAAGACTTATTGGCAATTGACAGACAGTACAACCATATCTTTTGTGGATGGCATGAAGTCACCCAAGAAGAAAATGGCTGGGCCATTTGGACACTCCACTTTGACACTTCCTTTCAAGGATCAATCCATGTCTAGCATGGAAGATGTATTTGATCCCAATGAGGGCACTCCAAAACAGCAATATTGTGTGGAGTATGATGCATTTTTATGGATTCAACTCATATTGTATTTGATTCTGGAAACTGAATTCTGTGTTGCAGGACTGCCAGTGCTTTGACTCACCTTTGATTTGGCTTCAGCTCTTCACCAAGCACAATGACAAGCAAGGTCAAATGAGCAGCTATTTCCAAATGTTAATTTCTCCCTGAAGTATTGTATACCCCTTGCTATATACTGTATTTGGAATTCCAGTTTTTTAAGGGCTTGAAAGTTAAGAGGTCAGGAAACAATATTTTTCATGTGCAGTATTTTTTTGAGTTTTTGTCCTATGCCTGCATCATTTTATGTTCTCTTTGTGCATGTTTTATGAAATACAACAGTATCATTTCATTTGCACATGGTCAAATAAGTTACAGAATATACTGTAATGTATGTTCAAAATGTCAAGCAAAAACACATCTGTTTTCCTCTTATGATCAAACTTTTAATTTTGCTTTTAATTTTTCATTACATGCAGTGAATGTTTCACAATAAACAGCTCAAGCAGAATCCTCATTGTTCCCTTTAATTTTTTCAAAGGTTTCTTGGTTTAGAAAATGTTTTATTTCAATAAATGGTAAAATTAATTTCCTGGCATTTTATGTTAATGTCAGGACACAAAAACAGAAAGTACAGTTTGTAATTCTACATTCAACACAGAGAGGATAAACCAGAATCGAAATTGCAAGTAGGATTCTAACCCTTTTCAAATGAACCAATAATAATAGGCTTATCCTTTAAAAATATGATATTCACCAAGCAAGCCTTTGCACCTGACCACAAAAACCAAATCAAATTTATTTTTTAATATCAGCAGTAACATGCTGAAATCTACTTTCAAACCAGCTGTGAATATGGAATTTATGATTGAAGTTACTTATGGTGGATGATTACAATATTGTATTTTCTCAGGGATTGTGTGAACTGGGTTGGCCCTTCTTAAATTGCAGATGTTAGGAGTAACTTCACTATATATGAAACAGATCCACAGAAGAGTGTATACATTCATATTGTATGTGGGTTTTTTAATTTTCAGAAATGTTCCAAAGCTCACAAAATTCAGTTTTACAAGTTGAGGAAAAGTCACATGTTCATGATGCTCCAGCTTATGTTTAGAATTATACTTGTTTTATATATTGGTTTATTAAAATGGGAACTCAAAAAAATAACAAAAGTACCAACAACTCGGATAATGAGCTTTGATTTGGAAAATAAATTTCTCAAGCAACAAGTAAAAAGAGTTTAGTCTGAAAATAATATTAATGTTTTTAAAACTCTTGAGAGAGAGAAAAAACTGCATTTCAAAAAAGTGACCCATTCAATTTAAAAAAATAAACCACGTATTCTTCCAAAATTTTAATCCCTTCCAATGATTAAAAAAAAACTATTCTCCAGCAGCACCAACAAAAAAAACAAGAAGAAAATTGGGTTGACAGCTTTTTATCTGTTCGTTTTTCACGGCAAAAAAAAAATTATCCAAAAAAATCCAGTCACGTGACGTTTCTGCAGCAACAAACGCCCTGAAAATAACAAAATTAAAAGAAAAAAATACCCGAGTTAAGCGTGTAATATTTATTTCTACGCCAAAACTGAACTGAAATAAATGCGTTATTCACATTCAAATGTCAGTTGATCCTGTATCAGAAATTGACAATTACAAATTTACATATACGAGGGATTCCATAAATGTATGAGCAGTAGATCGAGCAGCTCAACGTCACGCCTCCATAGTGTATATATATTCAGTTCGTCCAAGATGGAAGTCTTCTTTTATTTTCACATATTGTTTTTCTGTTTCTTCTTTGTCAGCAGATGAGCAGACAAAGAAAGAACTTTGTACAACATGAAAGGGAACTTCGCCTTTGTGTCCATATACATTTTTGGAGCCTATACCATTCACGTTTTGTATTTTATTTTGTTTTTGAAAATTTCACTGTTGTCCATGTGTTTCTCAAAAGATCCCATGCTGTTCTCTTTTATTCCTATGGTTGCTGGAAAAGTGAGGCTTTGTTGAGCAGATTTCTAGAAATGCGATTTTCAAAGAGGACGTTTTTTTTTTACATGGGAGTTCTTGGACAGAATATCCCATACTGTACAAAATGATGGCAATGATGAGAATGTTTTTAAAATTTAATGAACGCCCTTTTTTCTGACAGGTCAGGTGACAAGATACATGAGATTGCATGAAATACAACACCGAAAGGATTCAGTTGTCCTTTGTCAGTGAAAGGGGTTTGATCTGAGTGTGAGGTAGTTTACAGGAGGTCACTAGGTTTATCTGGGACTACTTTATTATCTCACTGACGTTAGAACATTTACTAGATTTTTTTTTAAATTTTGGTTACACATGTAAAGTAAAAAAAAATTGAACAAGTCTGCTTGAAAATTTTTTCAAGTAGAAATATGATTTGAAAAACTTTAGACTACAGCAACAACAGAAAAACTCTCAGTTTAACTAATTTGTAAGATAGGTAAGATTTTCTGAACCTTATTTGTTGAAAATCACATTGTCAACTTGTGGGAGCAGGTTTTGAAAATTTTAAGATTTTATTCTTCTTGGCCTCTGCCTTTCTGTAAATTGTTTCTACTGTTGCAGTTCTAATTATCCAAGTCCAATAACCTGCCTATTATAAGTTTTAAAAAAAACCTGGCTCTAATTTACAGTGAATTCCTAGCCAATTTAAAAAAAGATTTTAAGCCTCTGCAAATCTACCCTTTTTGGCTCTAACATCTGTCAGTCATATTCCCCTTTGACTTTGTGCCATTAAAATTTATGTAAATAGATTGTACATCACCTGATCCAGAAAATTGGAACAAATTTTCTTCGTTTCTGGAAGGGATTTGTCAACTTCCTGCAGTTAGAACAGCTAAGCATGATTAGCTCTTTCAATGATTATGCCCAAAATAATTTTATTAGATTAAATGATGGAAATTGTGCCATAGTGCTCCCTATCCCAAATTATTTACAATACCTACAAATTTGACTTGGAAAGGTTCAGGTGTACTAAACATAACAGTAGTGTCTTGTAATCTGGATTTCCAACTGTACTTCACAATTTCAGTTTCATTCAACAAATGTTAGCTCACCCCACTAACAAGGCCGTGGGCAACAATGAAATCAAATATTGAAATCAACTATTGCTTTTTTGATGGTTCAATGTAAAAGCATAATATCAGGAATTTCAGTGAAATTACTTTTTTTTTACTACCTGTCAAGTGTCAACCTAATTTGAGCATTCCTGAGTATTTTTCTGCTTCAACAACTGTGGACTGCAACCATGTGCCTTTAACTGTGCTTTTATGCCACTATATTCAGAAACAGTTTTGATAAAAAAAAAACTTCCCTTTCTGCTAAAATATTCCTAGAAATTTAAAAAGGTTTTCAGCTGCTTCATAAGAATTGTAAAAATGCTATAAAAACTAAAAGTGAAGCATGGGTCTGAGAAATAAAAATCCAATGTGTATATTAAAACGTGATGACTTTGAAATTAAAGAGCAAGAACATTTCCAAATTAAAACAAGGGTAACTCATTTTTGTGTTCCATATTTGGCAACAAACTAAAAATAAATCAATAGAGTGCAGATTTCATCTGTTTGTGTGACAGAAAACCATTATTGTTCTAACAAAACCTGTGAAAAACAAGGTTTATAATTTGTCAAGTGTTTTCATTTAAAAACTTCGTGGTGAAATGTACAGTATTTAGCTTTTAACCTAAAAGTTGTGAATGCTCTCCACCTCCCATATGCAAGTAACTGAGTCTTCTGTAACCTAGTTTCTAAATGCATATGTTGGCTAATGATTTTGCTTTGTTTCAACAACACATAAAACATGGAGCTTTCAGACAGATTGGAACCAAACTCACTCTACTTCAAACCTTCAATTTTTTTAAAGTTGTGCATTCAGTATTCAAAAGTGTGGGGAAGATGATAGATCAGAATGACACCCTGATTTTGAGTAACCTGGAAGATGTGAGAAATCATTTGATCCATGTGGAGGAATCCATGGATGACTTCTTCATTGTCACCATGTCCATCATCATTTTTTGTGAGTTGGTCTCTCTGTCCAAATTTTTCAAAATTAGGTCTGCTTTTTAACCTAATCAATCATTATAATGCTGTCCAATTGAATGTTCTCATAGTCATGCAAGCTGGGTTTGCTTTCATGGAAGCTGGAGCTGTGAGATCAAAGAACACTGTGAACATCCTCATAAAGAACCTCTTGGATATGTGTAAGATATTTTTCCTTTTCTTTTACTGATGAAGCTGCAATTTTCTTGATACAAATGTATAATTGTCAGAAACCTGTATGTTTCTATTGTCAATATACCATAGAAACAATGCTGAAATATCTTGTTGACAAAAATATCCAGTTTCAGTCCAATGAACTTCTTTTAACAATTTGCTGAGTTTGTTTTGGAATTGATTGACTTCCTGAATTTTTCAATGAAGACTAATACTGTATCTTAAAATTTTCAGTTGAGATAAGAAAAATAGCATGAATCCATGTGTTTGGCATTAATCGTTCCTCTGAGGGATAATTTCATTGAGAACATTTTGTGATTTGACAAAAAAACCAACAGAAACTTATGTTTGAAGAAATGAGAATTTAATGCCTGAGAAAAGGTATTACAATTTATATAAGGAATTTTGTCTCTACATCAGGAAATTTAATTTAGAAGGATTTATCTTGTGCATCAGAAAATATGTTTATAACAACAGTATTTTCAAATGAATCTCTTTTTCTTTCCTTATATTCACAGTGATGGGAGGAATAGCTTATTGGCTCATTGGATTTCCTTTAGCTTTTGGCAAAGGAAATGCCTTCATGGGTTGGACCTATTGGGCAAGTGTAGGTCTGCCTGACCGCAAGATGGCGCAGTGGTTCTTTGACTTTGTCCATGCAGCCACTGCTTCCACTTTGGTCTCTGGTTCCCTGGCTGAGCGCTGCAACTTCTATGCTTACCTCATTTATAGTGTCCTCATCACTGGTAGGTTTCACAATACTTAGATAATGCATTTGAGCTTTTAAAATTTTATGGATGTTTTATGATAGCATATTTACCCAAGTGGGGAGCTATTTTTGCTGTGACCCCACAGTAGGTGCACACCAGGGTCACAACTGGTGCATATGGGATATTCTGGGGTTATAAGTGTACACTGGCGTAGAGGAAATTTCGCTACCATTCCAGGGCTGCACTTGGTGCACAAATGTGATAGAACAGGAGTATCACACAAATGCACAAACTGTAACCATGGTGTAACTTATTTGTTTACAAATATGACCCTGAGTAATCCTGGTGTGAACACACAATTGGTGCACATTAGGGATATGCATGTGCACCAGAAGAACTTTGGTACACTTCATGTGCACAGCTGGGTCACTGTGTAGAATTACAAACATATCCCCAGTGTGCTCCAATTTCCCCACTTGGGTATTAATAACTATGGATTTATTTGTGTGTAGTTACAGATGGACCTCATCAACTCAACCCTTCTCTAGTAAAACCTTTAAAACTTGAATGTTTTCTAGTAACAATTAGCCTTATTATCAGCCTTACTTCCACTAACCTCCAGAACTTGAAACCTCTTTGTCAAGTTATGTTTTTCCCTTCCAAACAAAATTTGAGTGGTACAATCATATCTTTGAAAAACAAGGAATTCCTGATGTAGGTTAACAATTTTGACTGTTAACCTACATCAGTAAGGAAATCTTTTGAGTACTTAAATAAGAACATCGGGTAAGAACATGTTTATTTTAATGTTTGCATTTATTTTCTTGGTGGTATGACAAATTTTATTTCCTTTGTAGTACAGTATATTGTTGGAAATCCCAATTTTTGGGTTTCACTTTCCCCATATATCTTGAATTTTGACAGAAAAATGGGTTTCAAAAATTATCTTTTACTGAAAAAAATTCAGAAATTAAAAATAAATATTCTAATTTTTCTTGTTAGTTCATTGATTATTTTCCTGAAATGGATCCAGTTGTGTTTGATATTATGATGCATTTACCTACTTTGCATGTTTTCTCAGCCAATTTCCCCTTGCTGTGCAGTTATTATGATAAAGACTGTGTGTCCATCATATCATGGAGAACCAGCAGTGATGCATTTTCAGATTCATTTGATATAAACCCAGATTCGACTCATTCATAATACAGATTCATTTCCAGTAAAAGCACATGGCCAAACTCATCAGTGTGCCATTTGACCTCAATTTACACCCCCCCCCCTCCTCCCCCCTCTGGAAAGAAAAATAAATAAGTAAATAAATGATGATCATGCTTGCCTTGAATTCCGCAGGTATTGTTTATCCAATCGCATCCCATTGGACTTGGGCGCCAAATGGCTGGTTGCACACTTCGCCATTCAAGGACTACGCTGGTGGCGGCGTTGTGCACATGACTGGCGGCGTTTGCTCCCTGGTGGGGGCGGCGCTCATGGGCCCGCGCATCAACAGGTTCCATTCGAAAACCGGCGAGCCACAAGACATCCGCGGCCATTCAGTGCCAGTGAGTTATCTGTACCAACTCATTTTCTCATATACAATTATACAGTGTTTACTTGATGCTGGGCATTTTAAGAAGTGCCATGTGTAATGGCCCCTTAGCAAATGGCTGTTCAAAAGAGGGGCCTCCCATAAAATTTTGGAAAATGGTAATTTGTTCTTTGGACCTTTGTTTATTCCTATATGTACATGCTGGAGTGTCTGCATGTTGGATCACATTTTCCCATTGACTTCAATGGAAATGTATTTAAATTGGTTCTCCTATTTTTCAAAAATTTGGAAAAAATTGTTGCAAAGTGTTTAGTCTTTATGGCTGGAGTAATGCAAGTGAGACAACTTCTCTTTAATCCAATAGCATATATTTTGTGCAGTATGCAACAGCAGTCCAGACCAGCAATGAGCACAGAAAGAGTGTTTGGACACTTCTTTATAGACTTCAGATGCACAAGACAGGTGACTGGCCATGCATGAATATACGTAAACAGAAAGTAAACCTGGACATGTGAATGACTGGTTGCCAGACACTGTTGCAATGTTCCAGTACACCAATTCCAAAGCATTGCTATGCAGAACTTAACGCATAAAACTCAGTTTGAGAACAGGGTATTATTAACATGCTCTAGGACTCACTAATTTTCTGGTGACACCATGCAAGGGAATTATGGAAGTAGCTAGGAATGTAACTGCAGATGATGCATGAAAAAGGGGCAATGTAATAAAAGCCCAGAAAGGCATGGGTGATTTACAGAACTCTAATTGTTTAATCTTTTGTATATTTGATAGCTTCTGGCACTTGGAGGCTTCATCCTCCTATTTGGTTTCATGGCATTTGCAGCTGGCTTCCGTGGACACATTTCTAAAACTGGGGATGGTGCTGTAGTGAGCAGAGCAATTCTCAACTCACTCCTAGGAGCTTGTGGAGGTGGTACAGGGGCTCTCATGAGTCACAGAGCTGGCTGCTTTGGTCCTGTTCACACTTGGTCTTTTCTTATGACCATGAATGGTGCCCTGGCTGGCATGGTAAGGAAGAATAAAGTAGCATATGGGAGATGTAAAAAAAAAAAAAGTTCAGAATGCATGAAAATTTCTTAGGCAGGATTTTAAGAGGGATTTTTGCAATTGTTCCTATATTCAACTTTCTTGAGATCATAAGTCTGGTTGACAATGTTATGCATGTAAGCGTTATTTGGTCTTTGACTCCAAATGTGATCCAAGTTCAATCCTGAATGAAACTACCAAGTTCAGTACCCGAGTGGGGAAATTGGTGTACATTGGGGATTTGTTTGTAATTCTACACAGTGACCCTGCTGTGCACCTGAAGTGTACCAAACTTCTTCTGTTGCACA